CTCATCATCTTCTTCAATTCCTCGAGCATACTCAGCGTGGCCTCGCACTCCGCGTGCCGGCTTATGGTGCCTGTGCATTCGTTAAATTCATGAAAATTTAATCTCTAGAATTAAGATGTACCTAGCGCGCCCTCGACCGCCGCCACCGCCGCCACGCCCCTTTCCTCCACGGGACCTAGTGCCATCCTCTTCAGCCGCAGCCTTCCTGCCTCTTCGCTCCATCTTGCTCGGAAAGAAAAAGATGCGAGGGATTTGTTCTTGCAAACAAAAAAGAGTTGTATTTCGCGACTGTGTGCAGGGTCTGACGTGGCTGCAGCCCTTCACGACGAAGAGGATGAAGAGGAGGCCTCGGTGGTGGGGGAGGGCGAGGAGGGAACGGCGGCGGTGATGAGGCCATGCGCGAGACCGATCCGCTCAAAGATGGGCTGGAGGGCTGAGCGGATCTCCTTCCTTTCGCTCAGCATGAGGCCCACAAAGTGCCTGTAGAGGAGCGGCACATGCTTGCCGAACTGCACGCACGACAACACACACACACACACGACACACACACACGCAAGGGACCTTGATGAGACCACCGGACTCAGACAAAGGAGAGGAGACGGCCGGGCGAGGTGGAGTACCTGAGACTCGTCGAACTGGAGGATGCCCTGGAGGATCTGCACCATGAGGCCCACCTTGGACTGCGAGTACGGTGAAGAGGAGTTGAGCGCCGTCTGGATGAACTCTTCGGCGAACTCGGTGATCAGCCTGTCGCGTGCCACACGACACGGGTGATGTGAGCAGTGAGTGACACGAATGAGGTTTAGGGGAAAAACACTAGGGGGGAGCGCGTACAGGGTGAGCCTCTTTTCGCTGACCTCCCTCTTCTCGGAGCCGTCGGGTTCGGAATAGAGCGTGAAGAGGATGCGCAGGCAGCTGCTCATGGCGGTCACCTCAATCTTGATGATGCGCGTCATCACGCCGGTGGGTCCCAGCCCAGTTCGCAGGCGCACGTCGTTGTTGGCCGAGTAGGCGAAGCGATAGCCCGAGATGATCGCCTCGAGGAACGACTCCACATTAGCTGCACGCCCACGCCCAACACCAACCCGAACGTCAGCGAAAACAGCCAACCGCGGTCTACTATGCGCGCGCTGAGCTCCATACCGAGAGAGAGGTGCT